AGCAGCAGCAGCAGCAGCAGCAGCAGCATCATCATCATCATCTCCGCGGCGGGGCCGTGAGAGGGAAGGAGCCTCACCCCATAGAGGCTGCATGGGGTGGCAAGGCGCTATTATTTTGGGGGACAGAACTAGAAAGAAAGGACAACTTGCTTTTTTCGTGCGAGGCAGATGTTACTGGGCAAGATAAACAGCCTTTCTCTGCATCAGCATCCAGATGTGGAACACGCTTCCGAAGCGTGGTAGCCTACAGCTGTTATCACTAACCCGGGACTGGACCCCGTTGCCTTGTAGCAGCAAAACCACAGACACCGAGACACCAGTTCCACCCCCCCACCGCCACGCTGCACCGTGCTTTTGGCATTTATTTTCTGAGACACCAGTTCCACCCCCCCACCGCCATGCTGCACCGTGCTTTTGGCATTTATTTTCCAAAATAATTAACAGTTGGGTTTTATCCTCTTCTGTCGGGGTGAGAGACCCACCTCTCATTCATGTGCTTGGCATTGCCGGCAAATTCTCTCAGCTCCCCTGGTACATCAGTAGCTATGTAGATGTGTTTCCATTTCAGCTTCTGGGTCCGGGTCGTACCCAAGGCAGCAGCTCCGGGCACCAACCATGGTCACAACCGCGCATCCGGGTCCTGGCCGGACAGAGGACTCTATCCCACCGCTCCCATAAAAGCAGTTTAGTCTCTGTCAGGCACAAGGCGTTAGTGACCAGCCTGAGCTTTTGCTCCCTTCCAGCGTCACGTTTGCATCTGTCAAATTCAGGATGCAGACGGCAGGGGCTAACAATTACAGCAACCTTCTGGGTTTCCAAGAAAAATTGGAGATACACAATTAAGTAAGCCAAGAACATCCCCTCTGCTGTGTGCCAGTTTCTAGGAAATGTGCTAATAGATATATAAAAAAAGAAACTAAATCAGCAGTGCTTATTATCGCTGCAGTTTTCCAGGCGAGAAGTGCGCACGGCGATACCCCAAGGGTATTTCCTAATGCCAAAAGCCTGGGCACGCTGGAGAGAGCAGAAAGCCAAGCCCAGGCTCTCTCCGGAGCAGCCTGCATCACTCACCCCTTCACACCCGGAGCACAAAACTTCTGGCAAGGGGTTTGCTTTACACATTTTTGGGAGTAGGCGTCACTTGCTGCTGGGTGTCCCATCCTCTTGGATAGCAGGGGCTTAAAAAAACTGAAGCCCTGCTGGAAATCAGCAGGTGAAGCCAGAGGGTGTAAGGATGTGTAGCTGTTTGCTGTTCCCTCGCCTGCAGATGCACCCGTCCAAGCCCCGCAGCCCCGACCAGGGGGTTTCCGTCTGCCCAACAGCAGGTGTGGGGCTGCTGAACCCCATCGTGCTGATGGGTATCAGGGGGACACCCTGAAACACCACGCAGGGACAGCAAAGCTGGGGGGGAGGTAAGAAAGAAACCCCAGGGTATCTCCTGGGACCATGAGCAGCCTCAACAGGCACAAAGCGCCGGGATAGAGATGTCCCATCTCTGCCCGCACGCCGGCGCGGTGGCCCGGCAGGGCTTTTGGCCCCCGGCTCCCCAGCCCTTGGCACAGGGCTGGCCTGCCGAAACCCACCCGCGCTTGATGCATTTTGACTCTAAAAGCATGTGAGAAAATGCTGCCTGCCTTGGCAGGAGGCTTGGGGCAGCGACGCGCGTGCTCTGCCCTCTGTATTTATTTACCGAGCGTGTTTATCGGCATTGGTGTTTGGGCTCCCCTTAGCTTTAATTATGTATGGGAAAGCCCAATTCTGCCGCATCTTCCTCCCCGCTGACTAATCAGGCAAGCGATCGCGCCGAGCCGCTAAAGAGATTGCAACCATAATTAAGGATTTCATTTTAGCAATGGGCCACTTCTCTGAAACAGATCTCGGGAACCTTCTCCACGCTTCCATCCCCGAGCCGACAGCCCTCTCCATCCCAGCCCGGCACGGAGGACGTGTCCCATTTGCTTTGCACCAGAAGCTGCCCACGGTTGCCTGGGGAGCTCCCACCTTTTTGGACAGAGGAGCTACGTGTTGCACCACACCAGCAGAGAAAAAATAAAATCAGGAAATCCCCCGAGCCCCTGCCCTGGGGAAACCAAAACCTTTGCCGGCAGCAGCCTGCACAGCAGCCGGCGAGGGCTCCTGGGGGGTGCCGGCGTTGCACGAGGCGAATGCGTGACGGCAAAGCCTCCGCCACTGTCACCCCCACGAGGTCCCCACGTAAGCAGTAAAAAAAAAAAAAAACACTACCACAAAAATAATCAATTGCTGTTTAAAAAAACCCAAACCACCACAAAAAACCCAAAACACAACAATTTTTTTATTAAAACCAGTCAACTTCTGAGAAAGCCGGGGCTGGTGGGTACAGCAGCACAGCTGGTCTCAGCTAGTGCCAGCCCGGAGCACGGACTCAGCCAGCAACGCGCCCCCGAGGGATTCCCGCCCAGCCCTCCGCCAACCCGGGCAGAAACCACTTTCCTTTTCTACTCTTCATTGCAGTGGGGCTTTTTGTTTGGTTTTTCTTTTAATTCTGTTTACTGGGTCTCCTTCCTCCTGCCCTCGGTGCCGCAACGGGCACGAGGCAGATTCGCCTCCTGCATTTTTATCTAACCCGTTTCCAAAGATTTGAAAGAAGCAGCAAAGTCCCTGGTTTTTCTTTTTTAAAAAGAACATCCTTGTTGCTCAGAGCAACCTTTCCTGGCCGGTCTGTCCGCCCATCACCCAAACATCGGGGTGCCTGGCAAACCTCAGGCCACCTCCAGCACCCTTCTGCCAGGCAGCTTGCAAAGCCCGAGGGAGAGCGTGCCAGGAGGTTGGAGCAGGCAATGCAACAAGGACAGATTGAAAAAAAACCAACAAACCCAAACCAAACACCTCTGCCAGGCTGATACCATTCCCGAGCACAGCCGTCGGGAGCTGTCAGTCAGGCTAAGTGCACGGCTGGTACAGCAGTAATTAAGCAGCAATGCGTTGCAGGCGCAGTGGCAGGGTGGGAGTAACATCACTAAAAGCTTCCAACCAGGGCAAGCGGGGCTGCGATGGGAAAAGCGGGACGTGAATTGCTCGAGGCACTAAAAACCAGCGGCGCTAAATAAAACAGCTCCCAACATTTACCTTGCCGGTGCTCGCAGCCCATCCGGCGATGCCCAGGCTCCTGCGGAGAGGAAAGCACAGAAGCGTTCATTAATTGACATATGCAGCGGGGGGGGTCCCAAAAATCCCCCCCCCAGTTTTGCCCCGGCCAGCCCGCGGCACCACCCAGCCCTTCGGAGGAAACGCAGGGTGTTTTCTGCCTCCCTGCCAGGCACCTAACCTGTGGGGCAAGTGATTTGTTCCCGAAGAGCAGATTAACCCAGTACAGAAGAAAATAAGCTGACCAACTTCTGTCTCTTTTTTTTTTTTTAAAAAAAAAGCAATTACTAGATCCATAAAAGCATTTAGAAAAAGGTTAAAAAGTATTTGTTTTATCTGCCTCTGAGACCCGCGGGGCTGTTTGT